ACTTTTTTAAATATGTTGCCAAACCATCAATAGAGATGACAATTTTCCAAGTCCCGTCTCGTCCTCACGGGGCCCCGCCCCTAATGGGTTGGGGTTCGCCGCCCCGTCTCCGGTCACGTACTTTTTTAAAGTATTTTGGACATTTTTTATTTCGAGTACTTGTTTTGAATATTGATGTAGTTAGTTTGAATATTATTCGTTTTGAATTTTAAAATTTTGAATTTGTATTTTAACTGAAAATAAAAATAAAAAAACTTACAAACGAGGTAGGCCCGCGCTGCGCCGCGCCCCATCTAAGGAGGTCTAAGGAGTGGCGCAGCGTTGCGTAACGTGGTGTAGCACGGCACGGAGGGCGAGTGGTGTGGGGGGCAGGACGGGATAAGGGTGCCCCGCATCGAACCCGACCCTTTACCATCACTAACCGTCAATATGTTAAACATTGGGTTGAAATTGGACATTTGAAATGTGTATGACACCAATAAATGGCACTTTTATTATAAACTTCTGTTTGACACACATTCTTTTAAAATACATTTTTTCAAAAATCATTTTCAATCACACATTATTCAATAAAATAATATTTTTCATCACATCAATAACTTTTTCTTACCTTTTAACAACATATTTTCAATCATATCACTATTTAAAATACATTCATTTCTCAATAATATTCATCAAACACACCCTAAAAGTTTTCAATCACTTTTTTGTTGGCAATCAAACAATCATCAACTTTTCGGTAACAGCTCTTTGTGAAAAAAAAACTCTTCGTAAAAGTTGTATTGAAAATAAGCTCTATCTACAATTATGGACATGGGCGAACATAGAAGTTTAAAATTAGGGGGCACAATCTAATTTGCAAAGAAATTGGGAGAAATTTTACAATCGAAAATTTATGTCCAAAAAAAAATCATACCTCATATAATTTTGCATCCGAAAATTTACATGGGATGACTTTTTTAGATGGAAAATTTTTTATGTTATATTCCATATAAAATTTCTTAATAAAAGGATGAAAATTACATTGAGAAATTTGTATTGCAAAAATAATAAATGTTAATGAAATAATTGAATTTTTTAAAGAAAATACGAGTTAGACGTCTTTCTTTAAAACTCATGTTTAACTATTTTTTATATCTGTTTGGATTATTTGATATACTTGTAATGTAATTCTCGAAATAAGTTTT